ATTTGTTGAGGTGAATCAGAAGGCATCAAAGGACATTCATTAGACTCATGATTGTCCTGGAAATATTCACACACAACGGCAGCAGCTTTAGTCTGAACACAGGCAAGCTGCATCTTGTCAAGCCTTGATGTCAAGTTTGCTATCTGCTGTGATAACAATTTATTTTCAGCCAATGCTGCATCATTGTTGTCTAGGTGAAGAATGCCTCTCTTAGGCTTAGATGACAACCCTTCATTTTCATTGGCAGCCGTTCTTTCAATCAATTCAAGAGTCTCATTTGCTCTCATTGACTTAATGCTACCACGTGCTGCACCATTCAGAACCATCCGGATTTTCGGTTTACAACCGTTGAAGAAGATTCGGACCTGATCACCATTGGTCATGGGGTAATGAGGACACTTCCTCATTACATTTTTGAACCGGTTCCAGGCTACACACATAGTTTCACCCCCAGCTTGAGTGAAATTGGTGATATCATTCACCATTTGATTGTATCTTTCCATCGAGAAGAACTCCGCAAAGAACTTGTTTGATAAATTCTCCGATGAGGGAATACTTCTCGCAGGCTGCCTCTCCAACCAATTCAAAGCTTTTCCTTTAAGAGAAAAAGGAAACAGTCTCAGCCGGACTGCATCATTGGACACTTGAGGATGTTTAGTCGAGTCCCAGATCATCAGGAATCTGTTTATGAACCTATTAGGGTCTTCATCATCCTCTCCACCAAACTGAGCTCTCTCCACCAGTAGAATATTATCAAACTTGAGCTCCATATTATTGTTGCCAACTTCAGGATGGACAATACTTGAATTGGGCCTGTTAAATAGTGGCGTCAGAATGGTGTCCATGAGTGGATTGTCCGCTTCATTATTTCCTGCCATCTTGTGTGCTTTTTCAGATAGAATTCCCAACTCGTTGAATGCAAGCTTCTTCCGAGCAAGTTTCCTGTTTCTCTTTTCTGTTTTTGTAATCTACAAGTCAAGTGGAAATTCCGGCTCTTTACCTCGCATACAACTCAGAAAAGGGATTAGTAGCACTGTTCAAGAATCACACAGAAATCAAAAATAAAAATAAAATAAAAATCCAATCTTAAAAATCAAAAGTAATTGATAAAAGATACGCCAATCCCCGGCAACGACGCCAAAAACTTGATACTTCCTGGCAAGTATACCGATCGCACAAGTAATATAATAGTAAGTAAAGTTCGTCTCCACAGGGATTGTGATCGTTTATCAATTAATATTCCTTTCAAGAATGGAAGAGTTCAAAAGGGTTTGTTTGTGACAAATAATGTCGATTTGAGTAAAATTAAAAGTAAAGACTTGTTTTTGTATTTTTATATTGAAGAATAAAAATAAGAATAAGAATGAATTGATTTGTAAAAATGAGAAAAGCATTGTAGCTAGGATACACTCGCCATATGATCCCCATTCCTTACTCTGGATTGATTTACAATATTCATTTATAAAATTACCCGGATAAATTATTATCTAGAAAATATTAATAGTTAACCCTCAATTCCTTGCAAGGTTTACCCTTTAAACCCAATTGGAACCCCAATTCCTTGCAATGTTCCTCATGGTATAAAACAATGAACTCAATAATTTAGGCATCCGCAATTCAATACACATATATTCCTAGCATGCATACGAACCGTTATCCTACCCTCTTTCAGGATGCAAATCTCAATATTCCTATCTAGGGTTCTAACCCTCAAACTATCCTCAACTATTAAATTGATCAATTCTAATAAAGAGAATATAAATACGCACAGGATAGAGATAAAGACAATTTATATAAACGAGTAAAAGTAAACCAATACGTCGTAACAGGGGTTCACATAGGGTTTGTGACCCTAACTACAATAAAAAGTAAACTAGCCAACCATAATCATGGCTAAAAATCCAATATTCAATAAAAACATAAAATTAAAAGAGAAGATGAAGAAGAACTTGATCTGCAAAATCCTCTCGGAGCACCACCGTCGTCTCACTTCAATAGAATAAGTCTGGATACCTAATTCTGTCATAAGGATCCTATTTATAATTCTCTTTTTCTTCTTCCAAAAATACCATTCAGGAAACACGATACTCCTTCCCGCAAACCGGTGCCAATTGGCACCGGTGTGGCGCCACTCCGCGCCACACCTCTGTCTGAATAGAAAAAGTCAGAAAATCTTTTCGTAAAGTGGCGCCTAGTAGCATGAATGTGGCACTACGTAGCATGAGTTTGGCTCCAAGTGGCGCCATGCCACTGCCAGATATTGAATTGTTGAAGATCTTGGCGCCATATTGGCGCCACTGGGCACCACTCCAAAAGCTTCGGTGCAAAACTCGTAAACTGGTGCGGGTTCGCGCCAGTGTAGTGCCGGTCCGCGCTATGTTTCTGTCCATTGTACTGTGATACATCCGTGTAGAGTCGCGTCAACAGCCTTTTTATAATTTGTAATTTTCACTCTTTTTACCTGTATAAACACAACCAATAGGTGAGAAATATTATTGACATTGAAAGAATCAATTTAATAAGCAAATATGTATATAAGTTTCTCTTTTATGACTCAATTCTTATCAATTTTAACACAGAAAACTACACCTGCCAGAGGCACATCAGTCCGTTTTCCTACAAAATTAGTAGAAAATCAATGACAAGATATCTGATTAAGATTTATCAATTTAATAAAAATTCTAGCCTTTTTTATCCAAGATTGATCAAGATTCTTTCTCTTTTTGGCTTAAAATCATATATATGCTCGAGGCATATCAAACAATTCCCAGATTTGAACGTTGTTGTCCTCAGCAATGTAGTAGATCAAAAATATAAGCAAGGATTAACTCTATGGAGAGAAAAACATAGAACACAAATATCTTAAGAGATTAGACTGCTATGCATGTATAACTTCATTGTTGAAAAACTCTAAACAATGTTTTTCAGTTTTATCAAGAAATTCAGATCCTAACTTGAATGTTCCTCACTGAATAAATATGTAACTCTCATAACTCTAGTGTTTGAAGGTTTCAACACTCAATCCTTCAGTGTAGTAGTAATTCCATAGGCTTGATCATATTCTCAAGTTCCTAAGATTATGGAACACATTTGACATGCATAGACTGATCAAAAGGTCTTTGATAGGTTATAACTTGGCCTGCCTTTGGGGTAAGAATATTTTGGATAGAAGCTGATTAATTTGAGAGACTGAAATTCTGAGATTTTTGATAATACTTCCTTCTCAGTCTTTGCTTCTGCCACTTTTCGTCATTTCGGGATTCTTATTCCCTTTTTCACTACCTTTTTCTTTTCTTTCCTTCTTTGCAGATGTTTTCTTTCTTTTCTCTTTTGACTTGCATTTTCACATACCATTCTTCTTTTTCCTTTTTCAACTTACTTAACTTTTCTTTTGAGAAGTACCTTGACTTTTTCCTTTGATCAGCATTTCAATCTCTTTCGAGGTGTGTCATGGAGAAATGGTTAAGTAATTTTCATCAGGTTTTTGAATAAATTGGTCTAAGGCTCAAAAGGGCTAACAATGAAAAATTCTTCTAGGTAGGCTGTTTGGCTTTAAGTTAACAAGAACAAATGTGTCTTTATCATGTCAGTAATGCATGCAAGCAAGAGAAATAGTTCAAGTTCTAGAAACTACTACAGTGAGGCCTCTCTGAAAAAATATTTCTATTTAGGCTCAAATCCTCACAGTTATAATTCAAACTAGAATCTAATTTCAAAATTTCACATCAAGCATTATCTAAGAATTTTCACCAAAACAGTTATACAAACGAGAAGTCATCATTCTCAGATTATAAAAACAATTAAATGCTCCACAAATATCATGCTTCTTATAATTCAATCTAATTACTTACTGAGTAAGCTTTGTAAAATCTAGGAACGCTTGTTCAAGAATTCAATATTTTTGTATTTCTTTTTTCTAAAAATAATTGAATAAAACATTAATTAAAAAAATAATTGAATTAAAACATCAAAATTAAACTAAAAATGAAGGTTAAAATATCTCCCCTTTTTAATAGAAAAATTTCTGTTAGACGTCTCTGTTGTGCTATTCCGCAATAAGCAGGTTTCGCATACAGTATGCGCCCAATTCCTAGATTTAGAATGTTGTTGTCCTCAGCAACAAACTAAACTAGTCGAGTGAAGCTAATTCTGCGCAGGTAGAACACACACACACACTTGTTAAAACGTCAATCAGAATAGTAATAAACTCAGCATGTAAAAGGAGACAAAACCAAACCTTAATCTCAAAACAGCAAAAAGAAAATATTAAAGTTAAGGTAAATGGTGAGGACACTGGCGCTGGCAGCGTGGAGTTCGCGCTGTTAGCGCGGAGCTTCTGGAATTTTTGGAAATAATGGCGCTGGAAGCTCTGATATCGCGCTGCAAGCGCGGGTTATTCGTGATTTATGGCGCTGTGAGCGCGGAGCTTACTGCCTCTTTTTCATTTGCTGGCGCTACTAGCGCCATGTTGGCACTGATAGCGCCAATTCCCAAATTTAGACTTTTTGATATGATCACTAATTCACCACTTACCTGACTTGTTAAAATTAAACTAACCTAAGCAAATAAAATAATTAAATAATAAAATGTTACTATTGGGTTGCCTCCTAATTAGCGCTAGTTTAACGTCACGAGACTGACGTACCCCTTGTGATTATGGAGGTTGGAAGAACGCTACCATTGATGACCCAGTCTTCTTGGTCCAGTATTGTGTCCGTCCATGATCATGTGCAAGTGGATGAGGAGGAGGGTTCTCAAGAACTTTAAACTTAACTTTCACATGTTTTTCCTTACTCTTGAGCTTTTCCATCTTCACCTTTGGCTTGCTTTCTTCATGCTGCTGATGGACTTCCTTCTTGTTTCCTTCCTCAACCTTTTTCTCCACAATGTAATTAACTTGATGTTTAGGTTGAGATGCAGGCAATGGAGCTTCATTTGTGAGTACCTTGAATATTGTTTGCTCTCCATCCACGCGCATTATTAACTCACCCTTAGGTACATCAATTAGCGCTCCTAAGATTGCTAGGAATGGCCTCCCGAAGATCATAGGCACACTGACATCTTCATCAATGTCAAGAATAACAAAATCAACAGGAATTAGAAATTTGTTTACCTTGACGAGCACATCTTCCACCATACCATTTGCTTGCTTTGTTGAGCAGTCGGCCAGTTGAACATTCATCCTTGTTGGCTTGACTTCACCAATTCCCAGCTTCTTCATCAGGGTGAGGGGAATCACATTTATGATGGCACCAAGATCGCATAGGTCTTTTTCTATAGGCGTCTTGCCGATGGTGCATAGAATACTGAAGGTCCCTGGATCCTTCAACTTATTAGGCAAGTTTTTCTGTATGATTGCACTGCGCTCTTCTATTAGTGTAATAGGTTCATCCTCTGTGAGCTTCCGCTTCTTAGACAATGTCTCCTTCAAGAACTTTGCATACGAAGGCATTTTCTCGAGAGCTTCTGCAAAAGGAATGTTAATTTGCAATTTCTTAAAAATATCTAAACATTTAGACATTTGCTTCCTTTGCTTATGTTGCTTGCTCCCCATATGATATGGAGGTTTCTCAAAACGTGAGAAATCCCATTGCTTCTTTTGAACTACAGAAGGTTGTTCCTTTCTTGTCTTCTTGTGTGTGCTCATTCTTGCTTGTAAGAGCTTCCACTTTTTCTAGATCCTCGCTTTTAGTATTGATGGCATTGCAGTGCTCCCTTGGGTTAATTATGGTGTCACTGGGGATGTTCCTGGATTTTTCTCAACTAATTGTCTTGACAACTGCCCAATTTGAGTTTCCAGATTCCTTATAGATGCTTCGTGATTCTTGAAAGCTAATCTGGTCTCTTGCATGAATTCATCGGTGGTCCTTGTCAACTGCAGTAGAGCTCTTTCTAATTCAGATGGTCGAGTTTGTGGCATTTAGGGAGGTTGTAAATAATTGTTGGATTTGTAATCCAAACCTGTCCCCTGAACTCTCCTTTGGAAATTGTTCCCTGGAGCATTGTTCTGATTTCTCTGGAAATTTTGCAGTGGTTTTGGTTCATACTAGACTCCGTTAACTTGTACAACATCTGATCCTACCAATGTTGGGCACTCATTGGTATCATGCTCTCCTTTGTAATACTCACAATTAAACGAGTTAACTTGAGCTGTAGAAAGTTGTATCTTTTCCAACTTAGCATTCAGACTGGCTATTTGTTGAGATATGATTTTTTGTTCTGCTAGTGATGCATCATTGTTTCCCAATTGCAGAATTCTCCTTCTTGGTTGAATTGGTTGAACTGTCATTGATGCGTTCTCAGTCCTCGCCATGAAGTCGATCACCTCTAAAGTTTGAGCTGATGTCTTCTTTGCTATGGTCCCACCGGCTGCACCATTGAAAACCATTCTGATTAAACACCACATTTTTGCTGATAACCTTCTTCTTGGTCACTGGATCCCATAATTTGTATCCTCTGACTTCATCTTCATATCCAAGGAAAATACACTCTTTTGACCTTGGATCAAGCTTCGACAGTTATTCCTAAACCGACAAATGCACGTATACTGAACAACCATAGATCCTTATAATTGAGTAATCAACTGGTTTCCTGAAATATACCTCTTCTGGAACTTTGTAATTGATGCCAATGAAAAAGGATCAATTTATCATATAACACGCCATATTGATTGTTGCAGCCCAAAAGCTTTTGGGCAATCCTGCATTCGGCCTCACACATCTAGCGTATTCCAACAATATTATGTTCATTCTCTTTGCATCCCTATTCTACTCTTGAGTTCTTTATATTGAAAAGTGTTCGATGATATCTTTATCTTTACAGAATTGTAGGAATAACTTATCTTTGTACTCCATTCCATTATCGGATCTAAAGTACTTCACTTCCTTTCCTATCTGATTTTCAACTCTATCTTTTCATTCTTTGAAGATCCTGAAAACCTTAGACTTCTGCTTCATGAAATACACCCATATTTTTTTTGGAATAGTAATCTATAAAGCTTATAAAATAATGGGCTCCACCATTTGAGGTATGTTTGCTTAGCCCCATACATCTTAATGTACATAATCAAGTTCATCCTTGCTTGTGTTTTTCCCTACCTTGAAGCTTACTCTTTTTTACTTCGCGTATAAGCAAAATTTGCAGAATCCCAAATTACAAGATTTGACACCTTTCAATAACTTTCTCTTGTGAAGTTCTTTTATCCTACATTCACTAAGTTGCCCAAGTTGCTTGTGCCATAACTTTGTGTCATTATTGTTGGAAATCTCTCGCTTGGAAATTGCTACTCCAACAATTGTATCTACTATCAACCTGTAAAGGATATCTGCCTTCTGGCCTTTCGTTATAACCATTGAGCCTTTGGTAATCTTCATGAATAATTCTTGAATGAAAATTTTGCAATTCATGGAATCAAGTACTCCAACTGATATCAAGCTCCTCTTCAAATTAGGAATATACCTTACATTGCCCAATGTTCTCACAATCCCATCGAACATCTTGATTTTGACATTGCCAATTCCAGCAACTTTGCACACTACATTGTTGTCAATTAACATGGTACCTCCATTGCAGGTGGTGAAGGTATCAAACCAGTCCCTATTATAACATATATGAAAAGAGAAACCAGAATCTACGTACTAGTTCTTTAGGTTGATACTATCTCTAACTGATAAGAGATCACCTTGTGAAACTTCGCATGCGATAATTGTCAACAGCTCCCCGCTGTTGCTATGACCTTAGTCAACAACGTTAGCAGATTTTTCATTATGTTGTTTGTTCTTCTCATTATTTTCTTTGTATGAAGCACACTCATTCTTGTAGTGGCCTTTCTCATAAAAATGAAAACATTTAATCTGGCATTTTTCCTTCTTCCTTGATCTAGATTGAGATCTACCTTGATCATTGCTGGAATATTTCTTCCAACTATGGCTCCTGCCATGACCACCAAAGGTTGCGAGATAACTTTCTCCTTGATCTCTTGAAATGGTGCCCTTGAACTTATCTTGGTTCAAGACTGTTGAAATCACCTCACCCATTCTTAGCTTGTCTTTTCATACAAGGAAAATGTTAAGAACCCTGAGGTCACCACCCAAAAGCTAGCTCAAAGGGTGAGAGTGCCCAAGGCCTTATAAACTTCACATTAGTTGCTATTCAACCAATGTGGGACTAAATATCTCAACACGCCCCCTCACGCAAGAGCCCTCTTGGCTTGAAGCGTGGATTATGCAACAGGCCCAATCTTTGGTTTACCTTTTTTGTCCCAATCTTTGGTTTACCTTTTTTGTTCTTCCACTTTAAAGTGGGGGACGGTGAGGCTCTGATACCAACTTGAAAGAAAAGGGTATTTGAAATATTATTGAATTGTTTATAATCTGTACAAAGGGTTCTCTATTTATAGAAAATACTTGACCTAATTTTGACCTAATGGACTTGAACCAATACAACAAATAAATAATTAAATAATAACTAAATAATTATTATTTACAACAGAAAATGGTTTGGAGAGTTGAGTATGAATTTGGGAGTGGTACTAGGAGCAATAAAGCTTTATCTTCCTCATCTAACTTTACGTCAATACTGGTAAGCTAGTTACCATTTACCAGTCTATTAAAATTGTTAATATGTCTGGTAAAATTTGAACCTTCTTCCATTTTTGAAGTCAGTACAGATCCTTCTTTAAATATAAGTTGGTTCAACAGTGACTTTGACATGTAAACTTTTTCAAGTTTCTCCCACATGTCTTTCGAAGATGTTTCTATCAACACTTGATATTTGATCTTTGGTCCCATACTCAATCTGATAGTCGCCACTGCCTTTGCTTCAAGATCCTTCCATTCCTCATCTTTCATGGTTTCTGGATTTTTCTCCTTCCTTTCAAGTGCCTTCGCCAACCTTTGTTGAACCAATATATCCTTGATAGTACTTTTCCAAGTACTAAAATTTGACTTTCCCTCAAATGGCTCAAGATCGTAACGCATACTAGTGCTTTGCATATTTGGTTATGTATCCTGTGAGATTTCTTGACAAATGTAGGTCCTCCTGACCAGGAGCTCTGATTCCAATTGTTAGGAATATAAAGACATTGTTAACCACACCAGTTGACTAGGTAAGTGTAAGTTAAGCGTGAGTCTCTCTTTGCTACTGCAACAGTGACTACTTACATATTCACTGAACTTGTCATGTATGCCTCTTGAACCACTTTCTTAGACATCAACAATATAATTAACTTTATCTTCAATTTCACCTACCAAGAAATCAACACGTAAAAAATCACCAATAATAATGACATATAAGATTTTACGTGAAAAACTCAACTGGAAAAAAATCATAGGAAGAGTTTTCAAAAATCCACTAAAAATATTCGGAGTATTACAAAAGTTTATCTATCGGATAAAATAACTTTACTACTATTTTATCTAACTCCCTCACACTAAAAATGCTCTAAGTTGAACTTTCTCTCTAATCTCTCTAAACTCTTTCTCTAAAACACTTGTTATGCTTTTCTTTGGTGTGTTTAGAACTTGATACAATACCTTTTATATAGGCAAAGTTCCATCTTGTGTGAAAGCTAATAGCCATCATAATAACATGTTTTTCCATGTGAAAAATAAGTAACCTAGCGTGGTTGAAATTAGTAGCCTACCATGTGAAATTAAATCAGCAATTTCAACAATAGCCCTATCTTAAGTGAGGAGTAATCACTTATCTTGACTTATAATAAGCATAGCATAACTATTCGAAAATAATAAACTATAATTATTTCATGATAATTACTTTAAATGATAGCAAGGCAATAAATAAGATTAAGGTTAAAGAAGTTTCAAGACTCATACAGGAAGTTTCAAGGAAAGAAAGGCACATTACGATTACCCGCGAGTACAACATAGTTGGTCTTTTTAAGGCATATTTTCATTTGTGATAGCCTGATAGGTTATCGTATTCTGAATCTCACGTCTCAATATTTTTTATTAAGATCTTTTTAAAAAAAATAAAAAATCTTCTCAATTTAAGCGGCAACTTTAAAAAATAAATAATTTTTTTTCAAAAGATTATTTTTGTTAATTATTGTTCCTGACTTTTAGAAAATCCAAAATAATTTTTTTTATTTGAACGTGTTTTCCAAGTATTATATTTAAACATAAAATAAGCCTGATATAAAAAAATTAAAAGAAAACAATGCAGCATAAAAGGTTTCTTTCTGAAGCTACTGGGGCAGCTGTTCACTGGGTCTTCTAGATGATTGGAATGTAGGTCACCCACCAAAAACAATTTTCATGGGTTGACTAATGCTTTGTTTTACTCTTCAATTCTTTCGTAAATTTGAAGTACAAAACCAAATTCAAAAAAGACGGTTATCCAACTCTCAATTTTATTTTATTTTTCCTACACCGATGGGGCTACTTTTTAGGAATCATATAATTACTTTTATAGGAAATATTATTCTCCTTTTAC